AGATACTATTACAGTTGTTCTGAATTAGTCATACCACTTTGCATCTGGAAAAATGATTTTCATAACTAACTATGAAAATGCTGTCTACTCCAGGTTAATGTTGGGATATTAATTTCTATTTGTTCTAAAACATGTTTTAAAAAACACCAACTTTAAAGAAAGAAAGACCTGGAGAAGAGACAGAAAGACAAGGAGACAGAGAGACAGAGGCAGAGAGAGAGAGCAAAGTCAACTCTACATAAGATTCTCTATATTACAATTATATGTATAGTAAATAATATTTAAGAGTAACTTACTTCATAAAAACAAAAGTAATTGAAGATCTGAAGATAATTAAGAAACATCTTTGTTCTAGAAAATGATAGTTTCTTTTCAGATCTGTTTACATTGCTATAATTTTCTTCTTTTTAGAATATACTTTACTTTCCAAAACACCCTTAGAAATCCTTGTCTTAATTCATTGTTTCAAAGTATTAGGATAAATGAATGGCGTGAGGGATAAATTAAAGTTATTGATTCACCAAAAATCACAGCTAATTCAGTCTCAGGCATAAAGTAGCTGGAGGTGACTATGAGAAAGAACAAATAGTGGGCAACAAAAAGGAGGAGGAATGAGATGATGGCTTTCAGGGCTGTCACATGGGCCTCTGTCCTGAGGTCTTTGCACTCTGTGGCATTGAGCTGCATTTGCCTGATGTATCTCCAAAGGGAGAGGATCAAAAGGACCAAAAAGATTTGGGACATAGAAAGGGAAATAGCATTAACAGGTTGAGAAGTATCTTGGTAGAAGCATATTGATCTTTATTTATTCCACATCTTAAAGCTATGGTTTTTTTTCCCACTTTGCCTTAACACCGTGCCAGAAACCATCATTCAAATTCTCAGTGGCTGGAAGGCTAATACACATAGAGAGAGTCAAGCACCCCTGCAGAATTTTGAGAATCGCCTTGTTAATTCCCCACTTTATCCAGAGGAAAAGGGAAATTTAGCTATCTTGAGGAAATAGAAAATACTGAGGCAGGTTGCAAATGAGACATTTAAATGGTTGGCTAATGTCCAGAAGAAGTCAATGATTTTCACTTGTTTGCTGGCAATATAGACATCTGGGTATTGTACCAATATAAAGCAATCTAATAGTATTATACATAATAGACAAATTCTGGGTGTAGCCAGACTTGTGATGATTAAATCAATGGAGGCAATCTTTCTTTTCTTGATCCAGTTCAAGCAGTTTATTAATCCAACGAATGCGTTTCTTAAGATCCCACTGAAAACTCTCCAGCAGATATGAGCATGAAAGTACTCGCCACTCTATTCAGCATGCTTATATAGAGAAATATGCAATCCATTTCTGGATGACCTGAGGCAGTTTTGATATCTACACCTGCTTCTTAGATTTTTGCAGTTAATTTACTTCTCTCTTCCTTGTAGACTGTCCTATGATGGAGACTGGATGATAAATGAAGACTGTTGCTATCTTCATTAAGTCCTATTTAGTCTTGGCAGGTCATGTGGTTGGTGATCCTTGGTCTGGCTACTTATGCCCATTTGCCTTCTAAGCAGGCAGGTACTTTTCCACATATGGTTAATTTAGGTTAAGCTACTGTTTACCAAGATGCAAATTGTGCCAATTCCCTTTTATGGTCCTACTGTCTTCCTGAGGTTAGATTGTACAAATTTTGAATTCATTAATCTGTGATGCATACTTGTGACCTCAACAGGGTTGCTAGATTCAGCAACCCAAAATGCAGAATATTCTGCTAAACTATAATTTCAAATAAACAATGAACAATATTTTAGTGTATATCCCAAATTGTACTTTAGTTCTTTCAGGAAGACAGAAGTTCAAATTTCATTAGACTTTCAGCATTTTATTTAGCAAGTATAAACTTCAAGAATTTGCTAGCAATTAGCAAATAGGCAAAAAATTGAAATCTGTGGAAGAATCTGCAGTTTTTGAATGATAATATTGATTATTAGTAAAGAATCCAAAGTAAGATTCATTTTGAGAGTTATATATTTTCAGGAAATTGAAAAGGTTAACACTAAATATAAGCTACTTCGTTTCAAAAAATTTTAGCTCATTATCTTGGTTGTTCAGATGAACATTATATGGTAGAATGTCTTTCAAAATAATGAATTGTTTTATTGATCAAGTGACACAATAGTTTAGTCAGATTATAGTTTAGTGATGTTATATATAATAAGGTGAAAGACTCATGATAAATAAAAATATATATTATCTTTAGACTTTCTTCTTTTTATTTAAAATATTCTCAAGAAAACTCCAGGAGATGTTGGATATATCTTTTTTTTTTTTTTTTTTGAGTTGGAGTCTCACTCTGTCGCCCAGACTGTCTGCTGGGCTCCGGCAATCCTTCACCCTCAGCCTTCGAGTAGCTGGAATTACAGGCATGCGTTACCACGCCTGGCTGACTTTTTGATTTATTGTAGAGCTGAGGTCTCGCTGTCCAGGCGGGTCTCGAACCTGCGGGCTCAGGCAATCCACTCACCTCAGCCTCCCAAAGGCGCGGGATTACAGGCTGAGCCACTGAGCCTGGCTGGGATATATCTATTGCCTTGATTGTGGTAATGGTATCAAGGGTGTTTGAATATATTCAAACTCCTGAATTATACACATTAAATATATGAAGTTCTTTATACATCAGTTATGCTTCAGTAAAGCTTTAAAAAAAAAGTAAAATGTTCTCAAGGGCAGTTGTATACATGTGAGAGAAGAAAGTAAAACCCTGTATTTCATTATCTTCACCCTCCCCCTTTTCAAATTGCTTTCAGCATCTAGATCCTTAACCTTCTTAACAGGAGACTGAAGATTCAAAGTACCACATCTCTACAGACTAATTCTCATTTTGAAATGTAGGAATGCATGTCTTTTCTCATCCTTCATTTCTGAGATGCAGCCCTGATTTTTGGACAAATTGTATAACTATGCAGTCATATACACAGATGACTGCTTTCCTCTAATCTTGAAAATAATTCCCGTTCCAGGTACATCATTTTTATGAAGTGCTCACAATAACTCTGATAGAACCTCACCCAAATCATTTTATATTAATTTGTTTTGTTTTTGCAAGTAAGTGTAGGTTTATGCATGCCAGCGTTATACAGCATGAAGTTATATGAATGCATGCAGTTAAGATCAATAATTCTACAAGACAGCATTTTGTCATAAGCCTACTATTTTGAACTCCAGTTGTTGTGGTCACTGGAGATCCTTGAAGCACAGGAGATACAAAATACAAAACATGGAAGAAAGAAGCTCAGACTAATGGGATGAAACCTTTCCAAAGGTACTAATCCTATAAAACATTTATTTTATCTAAATCTGCAGAAAAATATAAAGTTAATCCAAGCATAGAATTTATAAATAATTTGTAAAATATTTTAGTGCATTTTAACAAAAGAACATAAATTCTCCTGTCTTGTATAACAAAGAGCAATATAAATATCCCATATATTAGAAATTAGTTGATAAAGTATATATACTTAGGTATATAAATATCAGTATTTTACATAGTGAATTTTACATAAGAGAAGAAAAAGAGTTGATAGTTTAATATAGTATAAACTATAGTATAATATCAATGGTTGATGTATAACAGTATTTTTAGTTATAATAAAAGGAAATGAGTAGATTGAAATATACCAGAATTAGACATAGCAAATGGTGTGAATGAAAGCAAAAAATGAATGGTCAGAACACACACAACCTGAGACATGTAGACAAAGTGGTTCAATATTATAGTGAGGAGGAATTTGATGTTCACAATGGAATGGAATATTATTCATGACTCTAATTTCTGTCTATTTGGGGGTAATTTGCTCTATATTTGTCATGGACATATGTTACTTCTTTTAGTGATAGTATGTGGTTATTCCATGGTATATGATAATTTCCTTCCAATTAATTTCTTTTGTCAAATTTTTAGTCAAAACCCTTGCAAGATTTTGTTAATGAAAGAAACCTGTTCCTGTGTGAATTCACTTAGGATAATGTTCTCCAATTCCATTCACGTTGCTGCAAAAGACATTATTTCACTTATTAGTGGGAGATAAATGAAGTATCTGCAAAAGCATAGAGAATGATATAATGGACACTGGAGACCCAGAAGGAAGATGGGGTGGAGGAACAAAAAATAATCTGTCAAGTACAATGTACATGGGTACGAATATGGGTACACTTGAAGCCTAGAATTTTTCACCACTATACAATGCAATCATGTAACCAAAAACCATGTGTATCTCTTAAAACTACTGAAATAAAGGAAAAAAAGAGAAGGGAACTTAGTGAGCAGTCTGACTAATATTAGTTAACTCCATTCTTTTAACCAGATTGTGAAAAGCACTTAGGAACATTCTTTGGAGAGAAATGCTTGGGGTTCTGTGCTACCAGGTGCTGCCTGAAATGAAAGTTATTTGAGAGAAAATTTAATTTCAAAGAAAAGAAGTTGAAAGCGTCAGCATAAAGTCCACCAGGACATATTACCTGGAAGATTACCCAAAGCATTACTCAGGAAACTGAACCAGAGACAAGCCAGGGAAAATCTGAGCTCCTAGTAGTAAGCCAAATGGAGGTCACTCAGCAGAGCATCACAGGAGCACAATTAAGGGCAAGCAATAAAAAGTGTATGATAGAAAAATATGAGAATTTAAGAAATGTAGCTGAAGTGCACTTTACAATAGGTCAAAGTAAAATCTAACTAGGCAATGCATGCCTAACATTTGCATTGAGAAGACAAGAAAAGAAGCATGAGCTCAAAAATTCTTGAAGAAAAAAGAGTGGAAAGATGAGAATGTCTGTGTTGTAAAGAGACATAAAGGATGCATTCATTGGTTTGCTAATAGGTCCTAATATCACAAAGATATGCATCCAAAATAAACAGAATAACTGGAAAAAAAATGAGAATAGACCTATAAGAAAATTGTCTTTTACTAAAAATTAAGGTATGCTTTTAAAGTCCATTTATAAAAGTAAAAATTTACAACATGCAAGCTATTTTTCTACACATCAGCACCCTGACAGATGCCTGCCTCAATTTGTTATTTACAACAATTAAAATAAGTGAGTGACCCAAGGGATACAGAATTGCTATAATCTCTTCCATCATAATTGCTAACTTTTCTTCTGTCATTAGATAACTAAAGTTCATCAAAAGAAAAACCGCATAGTATAGGAAAAAAAAGAAGAGAAACGAAGTCACAATTTTTATGACTCTTACATGGGCTTCTGTGCTGAGGTCTCTACAATCTGTAAAATGGAGTTTTATTTGCTTAGTATGCCTCCGTAGTGACTTCACTAAAAGGAAAAAGGAGATCAGTGACACAATAACTGGGACAATTGCAAACAGGTTCAAGAGAGTCAATGGGTTGAAGTATGGAATTTTACTCACATGAGATATTCCAGTGATGTTTTTTTTATGTTTTGCAATTACATCCACACTATAGTTACAATTCAGTACCATTACTAGCATAAGGCTGAACAATAAGGAAATGGCAAAACATCCCAGCAGAATCCAGCGAATCTCCTTATCAATTCTCCGCTTCAGCCAGAGAAAAAGTGGGTGGGAGAAATTGGCTATCTTGAGAAAATAGAAGACATTGAGGCAGGTGGCAAACCAGATATTTAAGTAGTTGCTGAGGGTCCAGAAAATAAAAATGATCACCATCAGTTTATTATTTTCATAAACATCTGGGTAGAATACCATTATTATACCATTTAGAACCATTACACTGATCAAACACATTCTGGAGATAGCTAAATTGGTGAGGATGTAGTCAGTTGTGGAGATCTTTCTCTTCTTAATCCAGTCAATCCAGTTGACTAGTCCAATGTATCCATTCCCCAACATCCCTATTATGAATTCTCCAGTTATTATGATCATGAAAATGTTATCTTTGGTATTGAACATGTTTGTAGAAAAAACAATCTGATTTCAAATGTTACTGCAGATGAACTAATTTACAAATGACCTATTGAAGTGTGATAAATAAATTCTTCAAATCACGAAATAATGTTTTCATCTGTCATTATTTTGAGTTTGGTATCATTCCAGAAGTACCCAGCTCTTCTCTGAAATAGGATTGTTTCTACATTCATGAAGACTAAGCCAACTGATTGCTCCAAACAAACAGTTTGACTTGTTATTTATAGCCTGGAAAAATTCTAATTGTTACCCTTTAGTGGGTGATAACTGAAACGTTTGGCCAAAATTGTTCTCATGCAAATTCAGAGATTTTATTTCATAAATTTGCAAGAGGCTTCTTGCTGCAGTTCTATGTGTTGGACCCATCAAATTGAGTTTTGAATTGGGAGTCACAAAAAGCAAACAAAAAGATAAATGTGTAATAAAAGTAAAAATATATAAATAAAACTTAACTTTCATAACCATAAATTACAAATGATCCACAATTCATGCCTTCTAGGTGGAAATAGATTTCCATTTTGGAAATAATTAATACAATTAGATTGTATTGTAAAGAGTTAATATTCAGAGGATACTAACTTTTGTCTTTATTTAAATAGTTAATTAGCATCTAATAATGAACAGCAATATTTACTAAGAATTTCCTCTCTCTGCTGTTGTTTATTAGAAGTGAAAGATGGTAGATAAAGATTTGTAATTTTTAGTTTTATTTAATGGGAAAATACTTTTAGAGAAAATTCACTCCCTGAAACATTGCCTCCTGGATAATAAGCATTTTCATCTAAAATTAAGGAAATTCACACTTCACATTATTTTCATTCCAAAAAACTTATTTTATAAGATTTATGATCTCACAGTACACATTGTCATCATATCTCTAGGTGGAGCAATCACATAAAAAAATAACGTTTGCTTTACCAAACAATATTTTCAGAGACTACAACTGATTCTACTATTAAATTAGGTTTTTTGGGTGGGGGAAGGCATAACATAATCCACAAAACATTTGAATATAAGCAATACAAATCACAGTAAACTAGAGTTCTTATTTAAATAGTTCTATAATGTACATAAAACATGCAGTATTTATTCTTTCTGTTTCTTACAAGTAAATGATGTGTAATAGGAAAGTATAAGATTATTAACTTAAGGAAACCTAGTTATTTATAAAATATTAGCAGAAACAAAATAAAGATGATGCAAGGGGAAAGAATGTCAGAAATGCCTGAGTTAGAAGGGTAAAGAGAAGGTTCCAAAGAGTCTTTGGGAACTGACTCCTAAAATTACCATCACCAGGCACGGGTACTTAAGAAACAACCTAACCACATTCTTAACTTTCCTTCTCAAGGTGGTTTTGGTATACACATTTCTAACTGTACCAACCTCTACTTTCTGGTCAGGCCTTCATTCTTGAGATTATACTTCTTTTTCCATATCGTATCCCGTCCTAGGTTGAACCTCACCAAAGATTGTTTTTTTCCCCTCTTGATCAGGACAAACCTTTCCAGAAATGGAGGAGATGGGACAGTAAGATAAGGACCAGCCTTCAGTTCAAAATAGCTCTTTTTTTACATGGTTGACTTTGTAGGAAGGGCTGATAAGTTCTAAAATTTCTTCCTCTGAGCCTGTTTGCCTGAAATTCCTCTGCACGTTGAGTTCAAGATTGTTGCCATTATGTGTCAGAAAGAAATAAAATCTCCTTGCATTTAGTCAATGACACGAAATGATGAAATGTTAGTGTGGGATTTTGATTCATTTCCCTGTAAAGATAAAGAACACATATGGCTCAATGATAACATTAGATTCCGAACTGAACAAGAGAGGAATGTGAAGAAACACAGTACGTATCTTTGGAATAGTGATAGATCTTAATGATTTTCAATAACATATAAGAATAAATGAATGCAAACATTTAGGAGAAGGAAGAAAGTCTTTTGTTGATTTCTTTTCTTTGTATTCAAGATACTTTACAGTAGTCTCTATGGAACAAAGGGCTTCCTTCCTTTGTGGAAGTCCTTCACAAATCTTAACACTGTCAGAAAAGATTATCTCAGCTTGTTGTTCTCCATGATCAGAATGAATGAATGGCTTGATGGGAAAATAGGAGTTACTATGCCACCAATCAGCACTACTAATTTTTCCTGAGGAATCAGAAATCTAGAGGTTATTACAAGAAAGACTGCATCGTACACAATGAAGAGGAGCAGAAAGATGATCACTGCCTTCATGGCTCTCATATGGACCTCTGTGCTGGGGTCTCTGGGCTCACTAGCATGAGTTTTCATCTGCTTGGTATGTCTAAATACAAAGAAAAGTAGCAAGATAAATGAGGTCAGTCAAATAATAAAGGGAACAATAGCCCCTAGGTTCAGGGTCATCTGTTTGAATGGATTTGGGATTTTACTCACTTTTAATTCCAAAGTAATGTTTCCTTCATGACTGGCCTTGAAGAAGTGATGCCACATACCATCATTCATTGAAATTCTAATAAATAAAGAGATGAGAAAGGATCCCAGAAGAGTTCCAAGAACGACCCTGTTGATCTTAGGTTTAGCCAGAAGAAAAATGAGTGGGATACATTGGCTATCTTAAGTAGAAGATACTGAAACAAGAGGCAAACCAGACACTTGAATTATTGGCAAGTGTCCAGAAAACATCCAAAAACGCTTGCTAATTCACCATTGTTATTTGTATCTGGGGAGAGTAGCATAACAAAGCCATCCAAAGATATTACACAGAGCAAACAGATTCCGGAGGTGGCAAAACTGATCAGGATGAGGTCAATCAAGGAAATTTGTTTTCTCTTGAATCCATTTCTGCAAATCCCTATAGTCGACTCACCAGCAATCAAAATTAAATATAGTGCCTCTGTTGTACTTAGCACGTCAGTGGAGTGTTCTGATTTTGCATATGTTGACTTTCAGCTGACTGGGGAAGAATGGTGTACTGTCTGCCACTTAGACTGTGCTGCAACTGTCTACATCTCTCCTTTTTGCCAGTTGTGATGCAGGTCAAGTAGATAGCCAATTCTGCTCTGGGCTAGAATTGCCTTAAGACTTCATTGTTGATGGCAGTAATTTCCTTTTCGTGTGGTGATGACTGAAAGACTAAAATGCAAATGGAATGGATCTGATGTCTTGGATTTGCACAATCTTCCTCATTTAAAATCTGTACATTTGGATACATCTATCTGAACTATTGAACAAAAACCTTAAGAGAGAACCAACTGCTTGGAAAAATGGCTGAAATCTAATTTGCAGATGGACTATTGATCCTCAATATATAGACAGTTGCCCCTATCATAGATTCTGAATTTAATGTGTTAGCTTGTATAGTCAGTTTACTTGGTTGACTAAAACTTTTAAATAAATTCTTATTTACATTAAATTATGTACGTTCAAAGCTAGAACTGTTAAGACATAGAGGATCATCTAAAGGTGTAGAAAGATAGAAGTATGAAGGTGAATTTATTATATTAAACCTGGACCTTTTCCCCATTAGGTGAATTGAGATGCCCCAAAAGACACTCCACTTACTAGGGTATTGAGAAATACATCATTGAGGGAATTATCCGTATTTTTAATAAAAACTGCTACATTTTTTCTTGTTAATATTCTATTTATGGTTTTTATATTGATATTCACACCCCAAAGCCAAGAAGTATAATTAGTGTTCCTCCTCCTTCTTCTTTTTCACTTTGATAGGTTCTGGTATCAATATAACTCAGTTCAGAAAACTTTTTTTTTCTTTTTTTTTTTGGGTTGGGG